GAGCCCTCCACAGGACTCTAGTAGGAACCATCCAGAAAGGAGTGCTCTCCATTTCTGAGAGATTGCCACCATGGAACACAAGCTAAGCCAGGAGCTGCCAGTGACCCCACAATGGGAGGGCCATCTTGAACACAGCGAGTGGCAAAGCTGAGAGTCAGAGAGTATGTTCTGACACCAGCCCTGAGCCCCTGCATCCAGCTGTCTCTTGTTTTATCCATTGTAAGCTGGTTTTCTGTCACTTAAACTGAATGAGTCTTAAACAAGGAGAGTAATAAGCCGTGAGGACGCTGAGACCACCTCAGGCAGCTGTGTAGATTGGCAAGAGCAGGGGCCAAGCAGACGCCTCTGCTCCTCTGACCTGAGAAGCCCCAACACCCAAGGAATCCAGAAGTTCCTACAGCCCCTCTTCAGCGCTCCTGAGACCCTCTCACTGCCCTCCAGGCAGTGCCAAGGTAGGGCAGGAGGAAGGAAGACCCCACAAGGGCAGCTGCAAGCCTCAGACATCCTTTGCCCCGGCCCAACAGCCCCAACCTGCCACAGCTGCTCTCCCCCCAGCACCCAAGCTGTCTGGAGCCCTGGGTGTGGCCTCGAAGGCAGCAGCCTCATTAAGAAAGATGAAACTCATGTCAGTCCCTTGGGCCAGCGAATGACTTCTCTCTGTGGCCCTCAGTGACTTTTAATGACCATCAGGACTGGACAGAGTGGGTGCCTGACCAGGATGGCAGCCCAGCAGGGGAGCCCCGGCCCCCAAGGCAGCAGCTCTCGGGCCTCTCGGAACCTCGGCCACATGATGGGGGCTCTGTCTCGCCAAGTCAGGGGGCTCATATCAAGCCCCCAGGGAAGGGTGTCCACTGCCCCTCTCAGGCCACGGGATGAGACCAGGCCTCAGAGGTGTGACCCTTTCCCTTGCCTAGCCCATGGAGGCTTCCACCACTGGCCCTGCCTGGCCAGAGACGCCAGGCCAAGAGAGGTCTCCAGGGCTACACTGAGGGGGGAGGTGGTGGTGGCGCATGGTGCTTCGGTCCTCCTGGAGGCCCCACTGCCCTCGCCCAGCCGCAAGGACTCAGGCAACCTGCAAGGAGCTGTAGCCCAGAGCAGGTCAGCGGTGAGGCAGCAAGCCCCCAGACCCCCAGGCCTGCTCCCAGCTCCCACTCACTCACACTGGCGACGGGCAATGCCCCTACTGAGAAGGCCTCCAGGAGCCACACAGAAAAGGTAGGAAATGTTTTAAAGAAATGTATTTCTTCATTCTTATACTTTTTCGTTGGCATGCAGAAAAGGCAATAAAATGTAGTCAGCACAGTCTTGGAATCAGACGTGCATTCAAATACTGGCTGTGAAGCTTGAAGCAGGCTGTCTCAGCTTCTAGAGCCTCAGGTCACTCATCTGAGGAGGGGGATAATATCAGACACAGGCCATGGAAGATGGTGAGGAGGAAACAAGCTGGTACGGCACGCAGCAGGGGCACCGGGAACTCGGACTCGCTACCGCTACTTCTTATGCCAACAGGCTTCTGGTTGGGTTCTTAATGAGCAAACAAGAGTGATGTGAAGTTAGCACACCTATCCCATGGCCTGAGAGGTTCTAGAAAACTCTTCCATAGCAATGTGATGTACGAGAATTCCTCGTTAAGCATTATTTTCATGAAATAGGCAAACTTTCACCCTTCCCTGTGACTATTATGAACGTCTGTCTAGTGGCTGTAAAAGAACCCGGAGACTCTGCATCTCCCAGCCTCTCTAGAGAACACTGCACAGCACGTCTTATGAAGCCTGTCTTCATGTGGAATTTCTTGAGTCTGCACCTCTGCCTGATTTCAGCAGAGTTTGCACCTTGGCAGGCCTGGGGGTCTCAATCTCACATCATTTCAGGGAGCAACACCTCTTGCACTCTCCATCTATGAGATTCTGCAGACCCCCTGTCCTGGTTCTCACGGGTGCATCTGACCCCAGCTTGACCAGAGTGATACCCAGGACTCAGCTGGAATTATCAGAAAAATATGTCTGCCTGGCATGGCTGGGGCCCCTTGACTCGCCACAAAAGGACTCCACCTGAGAACACAGCCAACACACAGGAAAACAGAGGCAAGAGACAGCAAGGGTCCTAATGACCTGGCGGAAGCTCCTGGATCCAACCATGCCTGAAGACTTACCATTATGGGAGCTAATAACTTCCTGTTTCTGTTTAAACTAATTTGACTTGAGTTTTCTGATCCTGACTGATGTAGTGACATAAGAATCTCTTTGTGTTAAATAGATTAGGAGACTGCTGTCCACAGTAAACAAAGCTACCACTGCCTTCTTTTAAAGCAGAGAAACAAACTCAGGGCCAGGCAAGTAGAGGAACAAATGTGTGTCCCAGGCCAGGGGCAGGACAATAGGCCTGAAAGGGCCTGTAGCTCTTGGGAGGGGCATGTCCCACTTAAACGTAAGCCGTAAAACCACAGCTGCCTGCTGTGCTCCCGCTCCATGGTTTCCCCACGTCTTCCAGGAAGGCTGGTTGCACGTGTCCTGCAAAGAAGGGGTTCCATGGTCCTTCCCTGGGTGGGAAGCGCTGGATTACACAGAGTTCAAGAAGTTTGTTTATTACTGAACTTCTCAGAGATCTCAGTGGGCCCCCAGGCTGAACACAAGGTGCAGCGTTTCCCACGTAAGGCCTATTGAGAGGGAGCACACAGGAATTATGCCTCCTGTTATCACATCTCAGTGTGGTCTGCTTGCCCAGACTTGGGAGCGCCCTGGCAGAAGGGGCTGGACAGAATCAAGCCAGACTCCTCTCATCACGAGCTGTGTAACCTTGGGCAAGTCGGTCAACCTCCCAGAGCCTCAGCTGCCCAGCTGTGAACCAGGGATGAGGCTCCCTCCCCCACAGGGTGGCTGTGAGGACCAGAAGCATGATGTGTAAAGCCCCAGGCCGTCAGTAAGCAGCCTGTCACTGATGCACAGAGAGACTTAAAGAGTTAAGGAGTTAATTGGTGTAAAATCAGAACAGACACACAGGCCAAAAATAAAGAAAGAAAAGAAGAAGTAATGATGCCGCCCCACTGTCTCAAGGCCATTTTTCACTGACAGCATTCAAGGCCACTCAGGCAGGCCCCAGACCCTCTTCCAACTCCATTCTTCTTTCCAGCTCTGTCTTGCACCTCTGCTGGTGTGTGTCCGGGAGATCTCACCACGCCTGTCCTGACCAGGCCAACACACACCCGGTACCTCTGCACATGCTCTGCCCTCTGCTACAACTGACAACCTGCACTTCGGCTGCCAGCAACCCATTGTCCAAATGGCCCCCGGGAGCATACCTGCAAAGCCCTGTCCAGAGCCCCCTCAGCACATCAGCTGCCTGAGCCTGGGAGCCCCGGGTGGGCACCAGCACGTGGCACAAACACAGGAGGAAGTGCTGGCTGAAGAAATGAATCACCGAATGAACAGGGGAATGAATGATACAGTGACAAAGCCCCCTTGAGATGCTCTCCATCAGGAATTAATTAGTACACAGGAGGTGGCCCACCAACAACCTGCATTGTGTCAACACCCCCCACCCATCCCACCCCCAGAGTCCCCAACACAGGTTCCCTTTTATTTAGGAAATTCACCTCCAGCATACAGAGACAAACATATGAGACCTAGGATGTTCTCAGGGATGATGAGGATGTAAAGGGCTGCACCACGTTAACCCAACTCCTCCAAGGACACTTACAGTTGTCTGCAATATGCCCGAGTTCTAACTAAATCCAGCCAAAGGTAGTGATTTTCCAAAGCAACACATGACGTTTCCTGTGTCTCCATAAAAAGAACGCCAGCGGTTGTGGGACTCTGGTGTAATTGCCGGCTCTGTAGCCAGCAGGACAAGCCTGAGGACAGGGGCTCAGGGGCCGGCACAGCTGGGAGAGCCGAGGCTCACTCGGGGCAGGAGTGCCCTGAGCACCAATTAGACAGAATCCACGGTGGGCGGCTTTAGATGTCTGGCCAACACAGCCAGCCTGACCACCACACACCCAATCCAAAATAGAAAACTGCAGTGGCTTCTGCCATGTGCCAGGCCCCCGGGCGGCCAGACAGAGCACCGCCAATGTCAGCTTCCTCCCTGAGCATCGATCCAGGCTTCCTCAAAGGCCCCCTTATGCCAAGCCATGGTCCCTCCGGGCCTCTGAAGGCAGAACTTCCCAGGGTTCCAGTCACACTGGGCGGCCCAGGCAGTCCCAGGAGGGACCCCCCCACACCAGCCTCTCTCCTGTCCTTCAGGGGCTGCCCATGGGCACCAGAGCCTGCATTTCCAAATGCTCCCCTTGGCTCAAAATAGAGAAAACCGACTTTTCAAATAACCAGCTGAAGTTCAACAGGAAACCACAGCATAAAAATCAGTGGCTCCCAGTCAGCCAGGGGGCAGCCAGGGGGCAGAGGGATAACTGGGCATTTCAGCACCACTGCCTGCTCCCTGGGTGGGCACCACCTGCACACACAGAAACAAGAAGACTGACTGCCAGCACACGTGCCCTCGACACACATATCATACATGCTAACATGCACAGGGACACACTCAGCAGACACTCTGACACATGAATGAGCAGAAACCTACAGACACACACGTCCACAAGACACAATGGCATATTCACATCACAGGCACACAGGCACCCAGATACAAGTACACACCGACATTCCAAAACACATGTGCAGATGCACAGACACAGAGAGATATACACACATCTGGATGCAAGACGAAGACCTCTGCTGGCGTGCATAAGGGAGTCGCACACTGGTCTAGTCGCTAGGCGCTTTGGAGACCCTGGCCCTCCCCCTGCATAAATCACCGCTCTCGGACCAATCAAAATAACTTGTCTTCAGCCAACCCCTTTAGTCGGTGCCCCGTGGACCCTAGGCACAGGGGTGCAAAAAAGGTCCTCAGAGCTGGCCTTGCCCCTCCCGGGGGACTCCCAAGTAACCGGCTTCTGAAGCCCAGGCAAGGGCAGTGGACAGAAGGGAGAGAAAGAAGTGTGTACTCACCAGCCCATCGCAGTTGCTGAGCGCCACGGAGGAGGTTTCAGCCAGGCCGGCCACGTCTCCGACGTAGAGGCAGGTCCCAAGCAGGGGCTCCACGCGGATGGAGCCCGATTCGCCTTGCCACTCCACCGTGGCCCCGGGCGCCACGAGGCGGGCGTTGGGCCGAAGCCGCAGGTGCAGGTCGCGGCCGAAGACAGTGACATTGTAGAAGAGGCGGCCGCCAGGGTCCTCTTCGCTGCCTCCAGGGAAGCCTGGGGTCTGGACGGGGGCAGCCCTGCGGGCCCGTACCCCTGCCTGGGCCATTGCCGACACCACGTGGGACACCAAGCGGCCCTGGGCGTCAGTGCGCACCGGCACCGCCAGGATGCGCTCCGCTCTGTGGCCCAGGGGCCCACCTGCAATGGGAAGGGGGGTTAGAGCCGCCAAGACTCAGAGGCCAGAGCCCCGCCGCTGAGCCCCGCATCCCCCCAGACCCTGCCCCCCACTGCGAAGGGAAGGGCATTCCGCCACGCAACCCCCAGAAACTAGCCTGCACCTCCCCGGCCTTCTTCCAACCAGGAAGGGGCGTTAACAGAGCCACCACTCCGGAGCCCCGCCGTCCCTCTCCGGGACCCTGCCAGCCAAGGGCTCTGCCCCCTGCCCCGTTCCGGGTTGGGGTTGCGCGGGCTCCTCACAGTTCCCCAGGGGACGGCCCCGTCAGAGCGTCCCCCGCCCCTTGAACCTACCGTCCTTGGCAGGACGTGGGACTGCTCCGAAGCCATTCCCGGTTGGCCCCACACCCGTGTGCCTCTGCCCCTCGGCAGCCCCCGCCGCCCGACTGCCCTCACCACTCGCCTCCGGAGCGGAGAAGATTCGGTCCCTCCGCTTACGGGCGGCCTGTCCTCCGCGTCCAGCTCCCAGTTAGCCCGCTGCCAGCCCCCCTCCCTGAGCGCCCGATGGCAGGGAGGGGTGGAGCAGGGTCCCTCGGATCTTTAAGGATCCCCTCCGAGGCGCCCCAACCAATCCTCAGGGCCCAAGGCGGTGCGCTCGGCACCCGGCTCCTCCCGAGCGTCCCCGGACGCGAGCCCGGGCGCCGCCTCGCCCGGCTCCCCCGGACCCGCTGGGGCTGGCGCTGCGCTCTCCGCCACGGGGCTTTCCCGGCCCTCGGTCTCCACGCTCGGGTCCCGGGAGCCGCGAGTGCTCCTAGGCTCCCCCCGACCCGGGGCGCCCAGGTGCGCTGCGGGGCGCCCCTCTGCGACCAACCAGCCCCGAAGTTGGCCAACTTGGCCCCGGGCGGGGCGCGCGGAGTTTGCCCAAGTCGGGCTGGACGACGCCTGGGGAGGGGGCGGCGGAGCACGCGGGGCAAGGCCCGGCCGACGGGGTCGCGGGGCGTGTGCGCCCGGCCGCACCTAC